AGGTGCTCTTCTGACTCCCAGAGAGGATGCTTCTCCAGGACTTCGAGGGCCAGCTCCTCGCAGGCACGAGGGAGGCCTCAGCAGAGCAGTGGGGACAGGGTTTCCTGGACGGGGCACGCTCCCAGCGGGTCTCCTCAGGCAGCGAGGCAGCCCGGGTTCTCGCACACTGCCTCACGTTCCAAGTGTCTCTCCTCTCGTGGAAAGGCGCCGTCTGAGTTTCTCCCTGGGGCTCCAGCTCCATACAGGCCACAGGCCGGGCATCGTACCACCGGGGCTGGAGTAGGTGCCACCACCCAGTATTTGAGATGGCCGACAGGCAGGCCAGGTGGGCGCACACTCCGGCTCGTGGGCGAGACTCAGGCACGTGGTGACTGGCACACGCAGGCCGAGGCCTGAGCCTGTGTGCTCTCTCCCTCTGCTGTCTCCCACATGGGGCTTTCTGTGGGGGGCGCCTCTACCCCGTGCGGGGTCGGAAACGACAAACCGCACCTTCCCTACTCGGCCTTTCGCAAACCCACACTGGTGCCGACGGGCAGTGACCATGCGAGGGTTCCCAGTTCAAGCCCAGACGCCAGCCTGAACACTGGCCACGCGGCCACGGTGTGCCCAGCTGAGGCTGGGGTGTGGTGGCATGGTTCTCTCCTCCTGCCAGGCGTGTGGAAGAAGTAAATAAACGTGGACTCAGGCCCGCTGCACTGTGCCCACACACCCCGCCCTCTGGTGCGTGGGCTCCAGGGACCCCCCACCTGCGAGTTTGTGGCTGGTGCTCGCGGCGAGGGCAGGCGAAGGTCCAGGCACCAGCCCTGCGACCGCGCACACCGCACCCTACCTCAAGCGTAGCCGGCGTCATCCTGGGAGGTGTCTCGCCACACCTCTCCTCCTCCCATCCCCTCCCCAGGCTCCTGGCCCAGCTGGACGAAACTGAGGCTGCCTTTGATGAGTTTTGGGCAAAACATCAGCAAAAACTCGAACAGTGCCTGCAGCTCCGGCACTTTGAGCAGGGGTTCCGAGAGGTGAGTACTCAGAGCAGGGAGGGGGCCGCTGGAATGCGGGACGGGGCTGGTTGCATCCACACCTGGACCCCAGCGCTGAGCCAGGCTGCGGCTGCTGTGGCATAGTGCCACCCCAGTCCCTGCTGGCCCCGGCAGCTGGGGATCTGGGCTCTCCCCGGGGCGTCTGCCTCCTCTCCGGGTCTGCATGGCTGTGTCGGGTGCCTCGCGTGTGCCTGGCGTGTGCCCCGGGGTTCAGATAGATGTATGGCTTGCCCTGCGCTCCCTGTGGCCAGGGCGTGTGTGGGGGGAGCTCAGGCATCCCTGTCCGAAGTGGCCGCCGGCCCAGGTCTGTGGCTGGCTTACACAGAGGGAGCACTCGGACCGTCCTGCTGGAGCCGGTCCAGGTGCCGGGCCTCGTGGCCACAACACAGCATTTCTCCTGCCTCTGAATGCTGCCGGACAGTGGGAGGGACATGCCAGCGGACTCAGAGACGGCGAGTCCGGGAGGAGTGAGCGTTTGTGGAGCCCGGGCCCTGCCTCGGTGGTGCTTGGAGCCCAGAAGCTAGCTGCGCCCTGAGGGCGCGGACGGCTCCCTGCAACACCCCGCAGCACCCCACAGCAGCGGCCCTGGGCAGACACTTCCTGCCGGCTCCAGCTTGGCTTTACATCCTCAGGACGGGTCTCACAGAGTGAAAAAGTTCAACTCTGAAGGTTAACTGGTCAGGCTGCCCTCTTCGGGCACGTACTCGAGTCCTTGGTCCCCACAGTCCTCGGCTAAGTGTCTGCCTCTTTCCGGTTCTGAGCTGAAACCTGCGGTCCCTCCCCCGCTGGCTTCTGTGAGGTCTGCGGTGCTGGCGTTGACCGGGTGTCAGGTGCGCCTTGGAAAGGCTATCTCCCCCGGAGGGGTCTTTCCCACTTTTGACACAACTTGGTCAGGCCGATTTCTGTGGGCTGCTGCCTCCTCCGGGGGGGTCTCCGTCCCCTTCCAGGACCTCTGTCTATCCCTGTGCACACCGAAAGGCTGGATCGCTGCAGGTGCGCTGCACGTCGCACTCCAGTGGGCCACTCCCTCTACTGCACTCCTCCACGAGTCTTAGCAATTCTAGTCCCTTCGCCTCTCCACATAATTTCTTTTTTCCTAAATTTGCTATAGGACAGGTGCACTCACTGGAAACAGAGCGAGCACGAGAGACAGAGACAGGGGAGTGATAGACCACCCCGGAGATAGCCATGCCGCAATCCCTCCTCAAACACCCTCCTCTCAGGATGTGGGCACGCACACAGGCCCAGCGTGTTTTTCAAGCCCCTGGGTCTGGGACGCAGACCGTGCAGTCATCTGTGTGGAATGTCACCAACTTAACCGCCACACCCCTGCTGGCCCTCCGTATAAATATCGAGACAACTATGAACGACAGTTAAAGCGTCCGTAGGATTGTGCTAAGCCTGTAGTTTCAGGAGAACCAGCATCTTTACTGTGTTGAGTCAGTCAGTGGACGTATCAGTTCCCAACAGGAGTCCAGGTTTTCTGAGTTCTCTTTCATCGTTGCCAAGTTTTCAACACACAAGTTTAGTACCAGGCAGCAGGTGGCATGGAGGTTAAGGTGGCTGGACCCCACATGGCCGAGTGCGCGTTCAAGTCCCAGGTCCCGTGGCTTGGAGAACACGCCAGGGGTGTGTGTGTGTGTGTGTGTGTGTGTGTGTGTGCTCAATATCCGGAGAGAAGAATGGAGAAGGAATTGCAGGGTGGCCATCCCCCGGGAGGTGAATTCTTACTCCCCTTCTCACTGTTTGTGTCACTCTCTGGTGAGTGCCTGCACTCTGTAGCAAACTTAAAAAAAAAAAAAATCAGTATTTATTTTGATTTATATTTAAATATTCTGTTAAAAAGAATTATACACCTTAACTACTATGCCAGCATTTGGCAAGGGAATAAAGGTTCTGGACTCCCACGTGGCCGACCACAGTTCAAGTCCTGGACCCGGTGGCTTGAAAATCATGCTGAATATGTGTGTGTGTGTGCATGCCCAAAATCCCAAGAGCAGATTGGAGGAAAAGGGATAGTGGCGTGGCCACCCCCTGGGGTGGTTTCTCACTTTCCCTCTCTCTGTCCCTCTGATAAACACACGTGCCCTATGGCAAATATCTTTTTAAAAATTCTGGATAGTATGATACCTCTATGTTTAACATTTGTGTATTTGTTGTTCTCTATAGAAACGCATTTTTGGTGTATTTATCTTGTCCTTGTGGCCTTACTAACTAGGAGGCTTTGTTATTTTAGTTCGTTTTGTTTGTAAATTTCTTAGGTGAAAATAAGGGCAGCATAGGACCAGCAGATGGCGTAATGGTTATTTCGCATACTCCCACGTAGTCAACTGTGGTTCCAGTCCCAGACCCAGTGCCTTAAAATACGCCAGGCATGTGTGTGCATGCCCAAAATCCCAAGAGGGGAATGGAGGAGAAGGGACTGTGGTGTGGCCGTCTCCCCAGGGGGTGATTTCTCACTTTCTGTCTCTCTGTCTCTGCCTGTGTCTCCGGTAAGCACATGGACCCTATAGCAAAAATCTCCCTTAAAGAAAGAAAAAGAAAAAAGAACCAGCTGTTTGCCTCAGGAACCTGCTTTTATCTTTATTATTCATCTCTACCGATTGCTTTGGGTTTATTTTAGTCTAGGTCCTTGAGGTGGGGGTTGCGGTCTTTATTGGACGCTCT